TTCAGGCAAGACTTTAAAACTCTTTCAAAACCAAGATTGCGGCCTCACTTGCTCCCACCCCTTCTGCTGGGTTCTGCAGTCAGAGATGTGGGGCTTAAGGCTGCATTACTGAAGAATTTACACTGAAATATGGAGGATGGTTAAGATGCTGTGTGGTTTCCAAGGTGGATGAGAAATTCAGAACTACCCTGTGCAACTACTGATGGTGTTTTGGTTTAAAATCAGCTGTTTCTGTTGTGACACTGTCCATGTTAGACTATGCCTTTGGCCTTGAAGATGACATGCGTATGCAAAACTTCTTTACAGACACAATGCTACAGTACTCCGTGTAAGATACAGGTCACTATGTACTTTTCACAGAAGCATATGGTCACTTAAATACAAGCAACTGGTAATTCATTAATGGATATTGACAATACATTCCTAGTATTTTGACTCATGTAGAGTCAGGTGGTCTATACCTTCAAGGTATATACAGCTGATCTTAGTAACATTAGCATCTGCCTCACTTCTTATGAGGCAAAAAGCACACAAATGCTTCCATCTTCAACTAGATACCACACAAGACCAAAAAATAGATGCCTGCTAAGTGTTTTACGTTAGCCATTTGTTGGCTTTACTCTGTGTTGGTAGCACAATCTTAAATGCAGTGGCAGAACTGTAATATTGTGGGGTTTCTAAGCATAAAGCACACATACTTACCGCTTTAAGCTAAAGAATAATAGTATTGGTTACTGTACAAGTAACAGTTTTTGCATTCATAGGAAGCTTTGTTTACTGTCTGTAATGTGCTGTTTATCTTTGGCCCTGTTCCTCCGATACCTTTTACCCTGTTGACTGTTTTAGTGTCGTAGAAATTAAAGGATTTGACAAGTTGTTTTCCTTGTCTGCTTCCAAAGTACCACCTCGAGCACCGCAGAGGCACAGCTGTCCCTGCGGCTGAGCCTGTGCGGGCAGGAGCTCGTGCAGCCGTGTGCGTAATGGGGTGAGCACGGGGATGGGTGCTGCAGTGATGCTTTTCCAGCTCATCGCAGGAGCGAGGAGTGCCAAGGGGGCTGTGGCCCTGCCCTGTCCCACCAGGCTGCTCCTGCTCGCCCGTGTGTCTTTGCAGTGGCTGATGATACTTCGGCTGCTCAAAGATGGCCCTTTGCTCAAACATTTTACAGTCTAAAATAAAGAGGAATAAGGTAGAAGCAAAGAGCAATTGGCTTCTTCATGCATATGGCTTTCCTTGAATTTTGTAAGACTTCTGTTATTTTCCCCTTTCTGTTCCCCCTCTTCCAGAAGTGGAGTGGGCTCAGATAGTTACTTGCAGCAGCTGAGCCTTATACTTAGTGGGTTTAGATGGCATCTACAATTGTGAAATACCACATACAGGAAGATTGCGACTTTGTTGTTGTTTTACATGCACTCTGATTTTTAAATTAGCAATTTTTCAAATCCAGGTGAAGTCATTTAAATAGGGACTTTTAGTACACTGAGGCCATGTTAATAACTTCTTTAAAAAAAGAAGTGCTTAGTTTTGTTTAAAAGAAGTGCTGATGTGAGCTGTGAACCTTAACATGCTTTAAGGAAATAAGATCCCTACCCTCTAGTGTTAGTATTTTTGTTATTTTAGTACACTTAACTTCCACTCACTGCTATATTTCAGGAGCTGAAATCTTGAGCTCATGAATATTGAATTTACCATTGGTAAACTGGCAAGTTATCGCAGGCACACTTACAGCATTTGAACTTTACAAAAATGCTGCTTTGACTTCATCCCATTCAGGAGGAGGAATCTAAGCCAACAGCCATCACCTGGCAGGTCCTGACACAGATCCCAAAACCTTGTGTCCAAGGGGGGTCTGCAGATGGTGACGGCCTCTGCCGCCTGTCCTGCCGTGCCCAGCGCCCTTACCTCAGGCAGAGTCCGACACTGCCGTGAGCAGCTGTGTGACTCCTTTTCTGTGCAGGGGCTGAGGGGATCAGCCCAGGGTTTGTCCGTCTGCCACACATGGGTCTGGGTTCTGATCTGGGTTACTCTTGATCGGGTTTGCAGACTCTAATGGTTTCCAGGTGATGGCTGTGTGTGTTCTTGGAGTGTAGCTTTTCACTTTCAGCTCCATCCACTGGGACTCTGAAGTCATTCAGGATTTTCTGGTTGTGTTTCTGTGCAGGCCGTTCTGTGTGTGAGGGGCTTACGGCTGTCTCTGACCAGAACCGTGTCCCCCAGACCACATCCAGAGAGGATCTCCTACAGGCTTCATTTTAATGACTAAAACCTGGCAATATTGGTCAGAGTCTTAGGAAGGAGAACGCATCTTGTGGGGAATGAACACTAAGTGTGACTTCCAGAATCCCTGCTGTGCCCAATGATTAGAGAGGGGTGGCTGTGGGGAATGACATGGAGCTCACCTGTGCGGGCAGTTTCCATTCTCTTTCTAGTTGATCTTTAAAGTTCCACATTACTAAAAATATATTTTAAATCCATAAATTAATGAAATTCAGGGGCTGATGAAAGGTTTTTTTCTAAATCTGGCCTTAATTCTTGAAGACACGTAACATCTCGCTTGCTTTCCTTTCTGTTTTCAAGTCATTCATTGTCTTGGTGCCATTGATCTTAAGGTCAGGTCCTCTTGATGTAGACAGAGTGTGAAATAACAGAACAAGAATCTACATAGTTCTGCTCTATGATCTGTAAGAGTACATACAAACAAGACACTTAAATGTGAAGGTTTTTAGAAATATTTTGCAATTGAAGCACCTAAAACTCTTCTTTCAAAGAGAAAGAAGAAACACGTGTATCATTGGTATATGGAAGTTAATTGTATGTTCTCTAAATCTGCCAGTAATTCACTAGCGCTGAAAAGAACTACATAAATTCTTAAAATATCTTTTGTGTTTTGCAATGCAACAATATTCTTGACTTTAACTTTGTAGATACCTGTGAACTTTTGGAGATAGCTCTGCCTTGGCAACAGAAAACCTGAGGATGCTTGCTAGTGAACAGTGCTTTATTTTGCATTCCTCATATATTCAGTGCTTCCATAGGTACCAGCTATTGAAGTATCAGAGTACTTGCTTTTTTAATACATTTATTTTCCCACATAATCTATACAGAGACATTCCCTAGTTAGAAGTGTTCTTCCATTATGAAAATATTAGCATTTATTCATTCATCTGCACTTGATCTGTTTATTTATTACGAGATTCCATTAAAACAATCTTGCCATTAGAGAGGGTCCTCCAACAAATTACCAGGAGCTCATGTAAGTTTGAATTGGGAGCGAGATGGGAATGATTCAGTCGCTGTGCGTGCACGTGCGGTGAACTTTCAGTGGTGTGAGGGAACAGTCCCGCTCCTCAGAGTAACGCGCTCATGCAGGCGCTGTGAGGCCGTGCCCATGGTGGTCACTCCAAAGCAGCTGACGTGCTGGGGAACTGCTCTTTGGTGTCTTCTGTGTAATTCATAGAGCAAGTCTGCAGCTCTGGATGCTTCTTGCTGCCGTGGTCGGTTGGAGATCAAGACGTGTCCTTCTGCTGTGTTGGCAGTGTGTGACTCTCGTGTTTTGATCAAAGTCGGACTTTGCTGCTGCCAAGGGAAGACCCCATGTGTGTGTTCTGCACCTTTTGTATTTCCTGTGTGTGAGCATGTTTTGGACCTGCTCTCTCCATGTAGAATGATCGTTCAGAAAAGCAGCACGATGGCAGGACCTGTATTGTGAATATGATGGGTCTGTTTAAATGCTTAAAGAGCAAATTAACTGGTGCATGACTTGTTTTTCCCCCAACCATCGGTTTTCCCAGTCTGAGCCAAAATACTTATTCACAAAATCTGTGTGAGTAACTTTCTCCTCCCTGGCTTTATGTAACAAAACGAAGTTGAGCCACTTTTCATTTTTTTTCAAAGTAATGGGTTTCAAAGTATTTTTGTCTTACTTGCCCTGACTCCTGTCCCTTTAATACAAATGGATAGAAAATGAAGATGCATTTGGGTCATGGATTTGAAACCTTAATGTGTAAGAAAAACATTCTTTGTACGTAAAACTTGTGTCTTGATTTAGTTTACTTTGTTGTGGGTTTTGAAACCCAACCATGCATTACCTGAATAGAAAATGGTCATTGCCTTTGTCTTTGCAAAGCTTTGTCTGTAAAATTCCCTCTGAGAAGACAGAATATTCTGAGGCATCTTGTCGCACGGGGTCAGCTTCACATGGGCTTGGGTGATGTGGCCATAAAACCCAGTCCTGAATGAGCGTCTCTACCAATGATGCTACTGCTGGCACTGCAACGGTGGCTGCAGACATCTCCTGTCATGCACTGTCCAGCTTTTCACTGCACTGATGCTGGTTAAGACTTCAGTTCACAGAAAAACATAAAACAAATTCTAAAGAAATAACGTATGCACAACCTTAACTCTGTGTGAGGCTGAGAGATGTTGAACAGAATCAGTGGTTCCCTCCTGGTCCCATTTGTCCTTAAGGCTCTGTAAACTCTGCAGTCTTGAGCACCTGATGTTTCTTTCACCTGGATCAATCTTGAACCAAGGTAAAATGTAGCTGGAAAATTTTGGGTTTAGTGTTACTTCCACCAGAAGAGTTTTCTGTGCACGAACCCTTCCTGGTTTATGTTAGGTCATCCAGAAATACATTTTACAGTGTTCTCAGTTGTGGATACTTTGCTGTGTTACAAAATCAAATGAAAATCCTTGTCGCCTTAGCCAGGTTGAATTTTTTGTGAAAAGCAGTGGTAATGTGGTTTTTTTTCCTTTGTTTCAAATGTTACATTGAATGTTGTGTAGGAAGATTTACTTTTTTTACTGTGTTTTCAATAAAGTTCAAGTGTGATTCATAGTGGGTTTTGATTTTTTAAAATTTTATTTTAAGCAACCAAAAAAATGTCTGGCATCCTAAATTATGCTGCCAGTAGCTGGTGTGAAGAGTTGCATTCCTCTTTTTCCTCCCTCCCCCCAATTTAACATACCTGATCCTTTCAGATAAGTGACGTATGGTATGTGATGGAGATTCCTGTACATTCAGAGGCGTTGTAGCCCTGTGTTTAAGACAGGTACACAATTAATTTGAACCCTGTACTTTAGGGAAGTGGGGTTTATAAAACGGGATGCGGATAATGTAATGTATAAATAATATTCAATAGCTTAATAGTTTGACTGTAGGGCAATTTTTACATATTAAAAACCTGGCCACCATGTTTCTTAAACTATTTGAAACTTCTTTGAAACAGCTTCAGATGTTCCATTTCACGCTCTGAGTTCCTGAAGTCAACCATCTCTGCAAGCCCTGCAGCTTGAGTCCATCAGCAGCCGATCTGTAAAACACTTTATCTAACTGTTGTCTAAACCAGCCTTTCCCACTTCCAGCTCAAGCCTGTAAACCCACACACCTGGTATTGTGCTGACCACTTCACTTGATGGATGATATTTGTGTAGTTCAACAGTTACTGCCTTTTTATGCAAAATGGATTTTCTTGTTACCGTGATATGTTGCTATTTTATTTTGTTTTAGCTTCTGACTTCTGTCAGAATGTGCCCATACTTTTCTTATGAATCATCTGTGGTGACCTGACTGACTTTCAGCAATGTGTAGCTGAAAAGTTGTAATGATGTTTTTATTTCTCATGGAAGTGGTCAGCACTTTCTGTGGTTCCAGGTTCTCTGAAGTTCTGAAATGATCCTGCATCTTTCAGGGCCATTTTTATCTCCAGCAGCCAGGGTTCCAGTTAGTAAACGTGGCTGAAGGAAAAGGGGAAAAGAAGTCTGTCTTGCTACAGCTCCCAGCTGCAGTAGTGTCAGTCTTTGTGAGTGGGAGCCTGTGCTGCAACACAGATGCAAAAAACCCCAAAACAGGTGAAGGACAGTAGTGGGGTGTTGCTGAATGAACACAGTGCCTGAAACTGCTGTGGCTCTGTGGGAAAGGGAAATGAAAATGGAGGCAGATGAGAGTGACAGAGGGAGAAAGAATAAAACTGCTGGAAGACGGAAGTTCAAACTGAATACAAAAGGGAAGCAACAGCACCCTTTTAACTTTTATTTCTCTAAATACAAGTGAGTAACATTGTTCATACAAAATAATTTGTTCTTGGAAGATCTGGATCTGAAAAGGCTCCAAAGTTACGCATGTTGTCAACTACGATCTATGAGGTAGCTCATCATGAGCTGTAAGTTATCAACATTTGAGGATTTTCTTTCGATAATATGAGCGACATAAAGGACAGATATGTTGCTCTCCCAAGGAAAACTCTTCAAATGCTTGCAGACAGGTATGATGAAACAAACGTGAGCAAGAAAGCAGGACAGTCTGTCGTGAAAACTGACTGCTGTTACCAGAGAAAAGACGGGCAGGGTGAACTGCGGGACTGAGGTGTGATGCAGATAGCACAGTCAAGTATCTCCTGCCGAAATGCCTGAGTAAAACCAAACAAAACAGCCTGTGGTGAGATGATGGAAGGTGAATACGTCAGCCATCTGTCAATTTAGATGTTCAAACTCTGACTGTGATGGATTTTGAGAAACTATTAACACGTTGACTCTCAATTTTGTCTACAGCATCTTTGGGCTCTTTGAGTAGAAGTGAGATGCTGCTGAGGTAAATCTCTGAACTGTATTTATTTCTGATTTGGAACAGATGGACCAAAATTTAAGAAAACAGAAAACACTGAGTTGTGATGAAAATACTGCCATAGGTCAAAACAGCATAAAAGAGCTTATAAATACAAAACTACTTTAAGAAAATAACTTTAAAAAAGCCAACCCACCTGCATCTGGATCTTCTCCCAGTCAGTTTCACTTATTAATATTTCTTTTTCTTCCAACTGCTGAAACACATCTGGACTTGCAGCTATGGAAGAATCTATCTCAGAAAAGAATTCATCTAGGTTGATGTCGTAAGAACTCAACAGTCGACTGCTGATCTGCTGAATCTGGAAAGAAAACTGACTGTAGTTGCAGTTACTTACAGGTAGTCCATATGTGGATGAATTGTGATTGGTCAAGGGGGGCTGGTGAGCTGTATGATCTATGGAATTTTGTTCCAGTTTGCACCTGATGTAGAGATTAAAAGCATTGGGTTCCTGGACTGCGCTGAAGGACCATTATCCTTCCGTGAAAACACAGGATTTTCATCACTGAGCTCTCCCCAGACAGAGGCACTGTTCCTAACCCATACAGGCACTGCACAGAGGGTACAGCTGTGTTAGAGAAGGGAAGCACAGACCTCAGCTGAGCACTGGTTATTTGATGGAAAACCAGCGCATCTGCTGTGGGCTTGGTTAAAGGTGTGACACCTATGAAAGAAGAGGCATCTCAGTACAGACTTTTATGACTTACTGCCTTACATATGTCTTTGCATATTGCATACAGGCCTAAGCAATCTGGTAATCGGAGCTGAAGATCCTTGCATCAGTGCTCAGCAAAATAAATACCTAAAAGCAATGAATGCTTTTGTTAAACTTAATCATCTCCATGAGTGCAATCCCAACTCACTGTGGCCACTTTATCTCATTTCTACCAGAATATCTGAAAGGTCTGTAGGGAGTCACACAAATCAGCCTTTTCTTTTGAGACTCTGCTCATAAATGCTTTCAGCAGCTTTAAGGAACGTTTCAACCCCTGTACCAGGACCATGCCATGTGAGCCTTCCTCTCCATGCATTTCCTGTGAGTGAAAACTGGGAGGATGGGAAGGGGGAGGTGAGGTGGCAGAAGGGTTGTTGTCAGGCTCAGCCTGCTGGGACCTGAACTGCTTTCCTATTGTCTCATTGCACTTTTTTTGGTTAGCATTTCTCTACCAGGACACTTGCTCCCTTACAACTGCTGAAGTGTCCCTTCACAGCATGTATCAGAACATTCAAAGTAAAGTTTTCTAGACCCAAAGGAATCAAGAGACCAAATCCCAGAAAAACTATCTGAAAAGCTCACTTAATGTTCTAAGATTTCATTGAAACTCTGCTTTTCCTAAACTTCCTTCTAAAACTATGAAAAAACTCATCAGTTAATGTTTAGTTTAAAAAAAAATTATGTTCATATAAGTGCAAGTATAAAAGTGTCTTCTAGGGAAACATGTAATAGTTCTCAATAAAGACTTCAGAGACAAACTCTAGGAGCATCCACGTAAGGGAAATGGTGAAAACCATCCAGTAAGGCAAGTTGGTCACTTCTTGACATTAGATTTGATCCTGTGTATTATTTTTATTTTATAGTCTGAGGCACTGCTGAGACCAGTTGTGACTCACTCTATTTCCAAATGGTCCCTAACACAACAGTATACTGAAAGGATGTATCCATTTGTCAGTGAAGGGCTAATTTAGTTACCCTGTTAATTAATGCTGATGTACCAAAAAAAAAAAAAAAGAGGGTCCCTCGAGCCCCTTGGTATAGCCGTAAGTATTTAAATCACAACATGGTAAGAAAAGCAGCATTCCCTTCTGCACTCTGAGAGAATCTGATGTCTAGCAAAGAGCAGATGGGTAATCCTGTGCTCCCCTCATGACTCTTGACTGCCAAGAAAGGAAAACCAACCTGCTTCTATCCCATGCAAACAGGCACACTGACCTTCAGTGGTGTGTGTGAAAAAAAAACCAAACAAGAATCCCACCCTACAATATTTACACTCTGTGGTCTCCAACAAATCCCAACCAATGACACTACGGGCTTCCTGAGTGAGACATTAAATACTAATGCACTACACTGCAATCAGGTTGTATCTTTAACATTTTAATGTGATTGTGTATTTAATTAAGTAATAAGAACCCTAGTTTCATCTGAACTGTAGCTACTTAGGTTCTAGAACTGAATCTACTCCACATTGCAATTTTAACTGCTCTGATTTAATTTTAAAATCTGACTTCAGAAGAACAGGGTAAGATTACACCTAAACCTTACCTAATTCATGGTTGTTGTACATCAAGGTTGATCCATTTGAAATCACTTTTAGTCCTGATTTATGCTTGGTCTTCATTTATATTGGTATCAAACTTGAACAGAGCTGAACTGTTTTCATTAGAAAGCCAGGGTGATGCAATGGAAATATGGAGCAGCCATGACAATGCTTTCTAATAGCCTCTTCAGACCCAAAGTTTTGATAGGGAGAAGCCCACCCTGAGCTCGCACTTGTGTTTCTCTTCCCTGCTTCAATAAGCGATCCTGAAAGACTCTCATAAGCCTCCTTGAGCGGAAACTGTAAAATCAGAGAGAGGAAAACTCTTCTCCTGCCTGTGACAGTGATCTGTTGAGTTCCTCTGCTGCTAAGATACAATCTGCTCTGAGCTACTCCTGTATTTTCTGCAGCATGACCTGACCCAACCCATATCCATCAATCAGCAAATAAACTCTAAGGCTGGGAAGAAAAAACGTGTAACTGTAATTTAACCCAAAATTTCTAACTGGCAAATCAGTGTGAACTATCAATGTAAGCAGAAAAGAAATAAACATTTTGTATAATCTGTTAGTGTTAACATGCTCCAGGATTTAAATACTAAATCCTGCTGTATTTAATGTATAATACAGAATAACAACTGAAACTGATTAACTGAATTTATTTCTGAAAACACCACACCTCTATATTTTATGTCTGTGACTTCTTAAAGTTTGAACAGAATGGCATAAACTGAATATTTTAAATACTCTATCGGTCATCTGTACAGCAGCACAAGACTATGATAAAATAAAACGATGAAACAAAGCACCAAGGTGAACTTTGTCCACAGGGAAGCCTTTTTAAGTGATCCAGTGTTAGCAAATTGCTTACTAATGTGTTGACTTATGGCAACCCTCAAAAGTAAAATGAAAAGGCTGGAATTTACAGCATATCAATGAATCAGTTGATAAGCTTTTACTGGTTTAATATCCTCCTAGTTTTGCTGCTTGGAGCCACTTCAAGTTAGCAACAGAATGTTTACCATCTCCATGTGATAAAGGAAGGCAAATGACTAAACAAATTCCAGGACCATTATACTGTTTGGTGAGATTGAAATTAAAATCGGTGAGAGAAATCATGTGGAGGGCAGAAGAAGAAACTGAAGTCAACTACATCACTTCACAATGACTTACCTTGCTTCCTAAACAATGGAAGATTTTTAGCAAAGCTGGAGATAATGTAATGCATTTGAAAAGATTTAATGGCACCAATAAAAGACTACCACAATTAAATGACATACAGAAGTGACATTTATAGGTAGGATCAAAGAAATTCACTACCTAACATGCTGAAGCAACACCCTGCTTTCTCTGTATCTTACTGCTAAAAAGTAGCTTACTTTGGTTTCAGTGACCTTTCTTATCTCCTTTGATCTAGATTATTAAAAATTTTAAGGATAGGTGTAATAAGGGCTACTGTGGCACTCTGAAACAAGTAATACGTGTCCTTCCTAGTACTAATATTTCAGAAATTGCTTTTTGTTTTGTGATATTTATTTAAGAGTATGAAACTTGATGTTTAACCTTTGTGATCCTTCCGGAGGAGGCAGAGTTATTAAAAAGTTTGATTTTTTTTTTTCCCCAATTGTGATGCTATTTGATTACGCTAAAGTTTAGAGAGTTTGAATTATTTTTAAAAAGCTTTTTCGCATCAGGAAATGGATAGCTCCTTATGTAAAATTTCTTCAGTGTTTCCATTAACCAACACTTAAAGAGCAAACAGCAGGAAAACTCATCTACAATTCCTACTTAAAAGCCACTAAGAAAAGTAAGTATATATCCTTTAATCATAATTGGCACTGAATTCATTTAAACCTGGCTAATCCATATCAGAAGACTTCATAAATTTATTCTTAACAGAAGGTGAAAAAAGTAGTGCCCATTTTGTTCCCTGCAAAATTCTGAAATGTTACATACAAGAATGATTTCCTACTGCTGTGGACTGTGTATGAAACTACGTTACATGAAGACTTTCCCATGGCTTATAATCACCTGATAAAATGTGGGCAGTTTATCAGTCTGTTTTTCCCCTAAAACAGGTATCTAAACAGGGGCCCTAAAAGGTATCCCATTCCAGGTACCTTGGTAGACAGCTACTGCAGGCATCTGATTCAGCAGAGAAATTTTAGGAAATGACACTTGGCTGCAACTTTTGGCATAACTAAGAGCCTTCTTCAACTTCCCTTTACTGAGACCTTGTTTGTAGTGAAGCATGGGATATCTTGGGCCTACAGTCCCAATCCACCTAAGGATTCAATTCTTCCAAATTTAAGTGTTTGAGCACTTTCAAGTGTACCATCAGCTTTCTTCAATTACCTCCATATTCATCTTTTCTGTTACAGGGAAGGACTTTGCACTAATTCTGAAGGCAGCGTAGCAACCAGCGAGCTGTCTCAGTGCTACGGCTGAGACCAAGGTTTCCTCTCTCCCCTGCCATTGTCACCACAAAAGCAGAACAGCACCAGTTTTGCTGCAACAGTCAGCAAGATCACCTCCAGGGTACCAATCTCACCATCATACATCAATCCATAATATAGGAAGAGAGGGTCTTTGCCTCCAAAGCTCACCTCTAACAGGATACAACCAAGTGTGTGAAATAATGACAGAGTAGCAAGCCTTTTTCTGCAAGTGCTCTTCTGTTTAACTGAAGAAGGGATTTAAAAACAACCAACCAACCATTTCAAGTGTTGGTTTAAACCTACCACTGGTTTACCTTGCAACTGGGGTAAGAGTATTTTCCAAGTTGCATGCACATGTAAATGTCTGCCTTGTGTGGCTTTCTTAATCTCTGTTACCCAGGCTGGTTGGTAACCTGGAGTGGAAAATGGCTTCTCCTGCTCCCTGAGGGACGGTTTGGTCACTGCTGAGGATGTCAGAGCAGTTTTTGTTAGCGAACAACTCAGCTGGGCTGGCCAGTGCTAGACTGGGGGAGGAGAGGAAGTTGGCAAAGAGGGACTGGAGGATGGCACAGGGACTCTGCAGCAGCTGTGCTTTAAGTGAGCAGGGTCATTGCAAAATGATTGCACCTCATTTGGCCTCATTCTTATGAGGTCAGGACTCCAATTTATTACAGTCTGACTGCATCTGAACAGAAGTTAGAGAAGGGCAAAAGCATGGATTGGAACTGTGCAGTTTAGTGTCCAGTGAGGGAACAGGGAAAAGAAGTTATGATAGTTTATGGATTTATTTGTTTCTCCGTTTCTATACCCCCTTCATATAGTTCTATAGGAGAACGGATTACAGTGATATATCAAAAAGAGACGGGAAATAGAGCCTTACAAAAAGCTCCAATATTCTTGGCCTAGGCAAAAGGCAGGCCTTCAAATGAAATATTTAAATTATTTTCTCCACCTCTCCATTGTAGCGAGGAAGAAATGAACAGACTAACAAAACAACTGAGCGCTTCCAGTGCTGCCTGTTGGACATGAATAAGAAGGAATACACGAATTTGAGAGAACTGAAACAGATCAAAGAAGCAAAGGCAACTTACCTTTTCCTCAAAGAACTGCTTTCTTAATTTGCTGTCTTTAGGAGGCACCATTTTTCTCAAGTTTTTTACCATTTTCTAACAGTGTATCCCCTCCAGGAAGCTTCAATTCTGTAAGACACAATTTAGCTCAAGAAGAGGAAACTCAAATTTATATAACTTTACTGTTTATATGAAACTATCATTTTATGCATTTTTTTAATCTTTGACTTTTGTAGTGCATTCATTCTGTCTAGTTTCTTATTATATTGAAGTTTTAACACATTTGGAACATTATTTAGAAACAAATATTGTCCAGTGACACCACGTGTAGCAGAGGTAAAGCTTACCTAATGGCGCACTTTATTTTAAAGAAGAGTGCCCCGTCATGTATTACTCTGGTCTGATACTGCTCTTTTCTACACATGGGATAAGACTTTTTACCCGTAAATTTTTCAAAAGCTTTCAGGCATGCCTAAAAAAATAATTGCAATTACATACAATATGTTTCATGTTATTGGAACAGATGAAACAGGATGAATTGCAGAATGTAAAAGCAGTTTATTCATCAATCCATGAACACGACACAAAATGCATACTTTTATAATTAAAATGTTAAGAGAGTTTTGTAAATCTCCATATATTTGTATGAAATTTCATCAATTAAACTATTCCCACTTAGTACACAAACATATAGCTCACTTATAAAATATGTTTTCCCATATGATTTTAAAAAGGTAATAAATGGAATAAAGTGCCTCATCATAAAATAGCCTTAAATTATATTTCTTACCATAAAAATCTGGAATAAAAATTACTTTTCAAGATGATTACATTTAATTCATTAAGATATTAACTTAAATAGTTTTAAAATCCTCATGTATTATGTGCTTGAATAGTTATATAAAAATGTACTTACTTTATGGAATACATGGGAACATGAAAGCAGCACCTGTTTTTCAAAGGAAAATAAAAAACAACCAACCAGACCTGACTTTAACCCATTCTGAAAGCTGAAGAGTAAAAAAATGCTGACAAGAAAAATTCTGACTGCCTGAAAGGTCATCACTTTCTTTCTGTTACTCCCACAGTCTTTCTGGTGAAAATCAAATTAGTCTTCTATAGAAATTACTTAATATATTACATCTTGAACCGATATGGGAATTTTGTGTTAACAAGGCATGGAGTGGCAGAAAGCAAGAAATGCCAACTGCTATTGACTAGAGGCAAAGATTATAAAACAAGTACTTAAAGCTGATTAATTTTTTTCCTTTTTCCCCACAGAGACATTAAATTTCAAGAAGTGATGTACATCAAACACAGCATTTCACACATAGAAAAAGACAAAAGAGAAAGCATGTTCACAGCCTACAAGAAAATTTCACCTTTATCCAACCTAAGTTCCCACCAAATGCTGATGATCTTCATCCTGACAAAAGATAAGAGTTGGACAAAAAAGGCAGTTGGCTCTTAGAGGAAGGAAAAACTGGGAAAGGAGTGAAAACCAGAACAAGTAGTGTGCACTATTGAGCTGGCAAACACAAAAGGATTAATGGCTAGCAGCCAGCTAAGGGAATGCTTTCAGATACAGTGGCTTTTTTCCCTTGAGGGAGGAAAGCTAAGGAAACACTGAGGACAAAAAGAATTCCAGAGGCATTTCCCTTTTTGTGCCAAATCTGAAGTAACCTTTTTAATGAGCGCTGTCTTTTGCTCTCTCTTGTCAAGCTTTAGACTTGCAGGGTACCCAGAAATTGGCAGAATGGTCTTTTGCCGGATCTATCCCAACTTTCTGTGGACAATTGTACACCTTCAGTTAATGTTGCTGTAAAAGGAAGCAAAAGCTCTGTATCTAAGGTTATTAAAAGACCCTGATTCACATCACAAACGTGGTTGTAAAAAGTCTTCAAGAAAAATTAAAAGAGGGAACAGGCAGAAAAAAGCCAGCCTAAAGTGCACAGTGGAAAGAAATTTGCAAGCAGTTGGGATAATTCTTCTAATTACCATCATCACCTCACTGAAGCAGCCCTCCTCTTCAATCAGTCACTTGTTCCTTTTGCTTCACATTTTCAAGACGATAGATGAGAAAATCTAATAAAGCCTGATGTATTTATGCATATGCTACACACATGCACTGAATAAAGCTATCAAGGTAAAATGCAAGCATCTCTTCTGATAATGTAAGGAAGTGACTGGTATTAAGAGTACACCTACTTCCATTTTCCAAGTAGAAATAACTATTGAACTAAACTGCAATTAACAAAACTTGTGAGAAAAATAGAACTTAAATTATATCATTAGTGAATATTTACCATACTGATGAATAAAGGCTAGGATCATATCTAACAAGAGTTTAAATGAAGTGAAATAAGCCTAACCCTGCTTTGCAAGAACAGATAAAAAGGCTGCTTACCTTCTCCTCTACTGTCATTTCAGAAGTGAACAAACACTATCAACCTTTCTCTACCATGTCCTGTCCAAAATACTTTCAGAGTTGGCCACTGACAGCTGGGACCAGCTCTTAAATTTTAAATGTTGTATTATGGTAGAATCTTTCATTTCCTTCCTTTCTTCCTCCAGCCCATAATTTTTAGCAAAAACTCTGGAAAAATTTTTTACATACATTTGTGTAGTCCACACAATGACACAGTTATACACCTACCTGAGGCTGAAGTGCGAATTCTTCCCTGCATATTGCACAAGGCTGTATGGAGTCTCCGTGCTGTATGGATCTCTGCTTTATTTTCACCCATTCTTCAGCAGTTAGTGGCAAGGAAGGAGGCTCAACTAGGCCTAATTTCCGAGCTGTGGACAATAACAACAAATCACGCAATAAAACCCATTGGTAGATGCAGACAATGGATTTTCTTTACATGAAATTCATCCATGATGCACTTATCTAAAAACACTTTCTACAAATAGTTCATATAAGTCAGAACCTCTCTTACATACAGGATTTATACAGGAAATTTTTAAATGTAAAAAAGAGATGCTAGTAGGTATAGCAAAGAATAGATCTTTGTCATCTTTGAACACCGACTGCCAAAGTCAATGGAGGAATGTCTGAGGTATGTTTAATAAGCCAGTAACATCAGTCTCTGATGAATCTGCTAAAACCAGAAAGGCAGAGGGATAGGTGGAATGCAAGCAGATGACACCTAGATGAGTGTTTTAGTTCTACATGGGAAGGAAAGGGTCATCTCTTTCATTCATACAAAAGTCTCTGCATAAACCAGACATTAATAAGCAGCACTTATATGTTCTGTGTAAGCTTTCAAAACCCCACCAGACAGCTTGTGTATCCAAACCCATTATACTAATTTTCATGAAAAGAAAAGCAATTCTAATGACCCAAAGGATTTGGAGGTCTTGGTGATCCACTTGCTCAAGTATCTGATTTTTCGAGGATAGGATTTGTTAATTTTTGAGACAAAAATCTCCTCCTGAGCTCACCCATCTACAGATGTATATCATCAATCATTTAAAATTTGCACAAAACCCTTTGATCTTTTAAAAGAACTTTTGTAAGGTACTAAAGGAATTATAATAGGAATACTTTCTTCCCTCTGGTTGAACTATCTCCCTAACCTACTTTCTTGTGAACTCATGGCATCCTTCAAACCTAAATCAATTTGATTCTGTATCTGAGAACAACAGAATGGCTTTGAGATTTCAAACTGGGTCAGTTTATGCTTTTGTAACAAAGTGGAAAGTGCTTTCTCTACATTTGCTTTGGTTCACATACACCCCACCTTGTTACTTTTGTTACCCTTGTAAAGATACCTATTTAAAGGTAAGCAAAGCATGTAAACTTAAGTATCAAAAGAAAATTTGAATCAATGATTGCATCGGTGGTCATATCTGAACTGTTTTGGGGGAACGCTGTTTCAGTCCCTGCACAACCCGATACCTGGACACAAATGCAGCACCTCCTGCACACGTGTGGGAGCTCACAGCTCTGCCTGCAGGCTACGGGTGAGAATTCAAACCGTTCTGTGTTGAGTAACAAAGCACACACGTATGTACTAACAGCACTGTAATTTCAGAATGTAAAATATACACTGTATTAGCATGAAATAGTGCTGTCTGTCAATTTTGATGTAAAATGCCTTTATCTGGTGCTCTTGCTGGTGAAAAATAATATGAGCTTTAAGGGAAATATGAAGGATCCTGCAAACTTTTTAGAGTCTAAAAACAGGTTCAGAGCATGTGTTTTGCTTGGAGCTCATGTGTGAATTGCTGAAATTGGTAGCTGAGTGTCAAGGAAGTTTTCCTAACCAGGAGTGCTTTCCTCCTTGAACATTTAACTCTTTAAGACCTTTCAGCATTTCAGCTGCAAAAGAAGAATCAAATTATAAAATACACAATAAATGTTTCAGTAAAAACATATAAAAAGCTTCATCTGACAGTAATACCCAAGAGTATCAGTGAATGAGTAAGAAAACAAGATCCTGTTTTGATAGTCCAATATACACAAGCAATGGTCTTCATGATGAGAAAATCTCGATATGCAGGGAGCGGACAAGATATCAAACCAGTCACAGCATGAAAGGCAGTATCACAACATAAAAAATGCCTACCCTTGATTTTCTTGCAAGCACTGTGGTAAGAGACCGTTTGAAAGAAGACAATGAGATGGCTTTGTGGAAAGCCTTTTGTATACCCCCAGGATAAGAAAAAAATGCTTATTTAAAACTTTCACAAATGGATGATTAAAGCTGCCATGTAGGAAGAGGTTGGCAGCAAAACCTAACTTCTAAATAACATAAACCAGATGGGATATTTGTGAGGGACAGGTTATACAGGTGTTTAGAAGGAAAGCTTTTATGCAGCATAGTTAATAAAGGAAAACTGGCAGTAGGACACACAAGAAGGGATATGTGGTTGAAGCAAAAGGCTCTATGAAGATATTCTCAAAGCAGCACTTTGAATAAATGTAAGCAATGAAAGCCTACATTTATCACAGCTCAAGACATCCAAGACTTTTCATCTTTGTGCATCAAGTTTACAAGGCCAACCCATTTACTGACACACCCAACTCACAACCAAGTGAGTTATTTATCCTAAAGTGAACATTAGCAAAGTGATTAGATTCATTAACCTTAAAAGTATTATTATTTAATTTTAGGACTTCAGTCTTTATTGAGAAAAAATTAATGATAGTGGCCTGTGAGATTTTGTTTGATTACCCACGAACTCAAGGAGAAAAAGGTTGCATTGAATTACATTTTCAAAGTTGCTTCACAGCTGTAAGCTTTAAACCAAACAATTCTTACTAATAAGAGAAAGCTTCTTCACAAGGATTTTAAAATAAAGTGAGACTATAGATGAAAATATTAATAAGCAATACAATTGCAATTAAAAAAAAACTTTCAGCATATTTTTTGACTCACTTGCACTAGCATTCATATGGGACATTTCAGTCTATGCTGTGATGTGAAGAGAAAATACTTTGTCTTTCTAATTGCAGAGAACATGCTCACGCTTGGGCTGCATTTTCTCACCACAACCTTTAGCTTCCATATTCAGTCATTATGAATGTACTCCTCCACTGTTTTTCCCCCCACTATCATCTCTTCTTTCCTCTTAAAAATGAACCAAAGAAAAAACCCTCCCATCTCTAGAACTATGAACAGGTAAACATAGGAATAATCACCTTGTCTTACTACTTTTGTCCTATCACTTGTTATACTCACTTCTTGTGTATCATCTTAAAGTACCCTTTTAACCTTCAGCCAAATCCAAAAGGCAGATGCCTGTGTTTGTGTGGAGCCTCATTGATTTACATGGTTCTCTTTAGAGCTGGGACTACTGTGACAGTTACTATACAAAGGGCAACATGAATTTCAGAGAGGCCTAAGGGCATCTTTATGAAAAAAGAATAAATAAAATGGTGACGAAAGTTTATTATGCTTAAGACTGCAAATTGTGGATACCATTTCCTTTAAGAAACGCCTAATCAAGACAACCAGAAGGATGGAGACAAGAAGATGTTCATGGCAAGAATACTGTAGAAACCTTTAAAAAAAGGGAAATACAAGACTGAAACTGATAAGAGGGAAGCACATTTGGACTCCTGGTCTGTTAAGATGCTCCCTAGCTTTGTTTTTTTAAGCAATATTGTCTGTCACTGCTGTACAACTGTATTAGTATAATGCTATTTAGAAGTGTGTTTTCTCACCAGGCATCATTCCAAGTCCTCACATCTGTGACTTTTATCTTGTTGCATGTTTGCTTCTAAATTTGAAAAAGGTATTTAACTACAGGTGTTAATTCTTCCTGGGTTTAGCCCCAGGACCATTGTAAAAACAAATCTTTTTAACTTTGAGTAAAGGTGGGTATATATTAACAAAGAATACATTTAATGCAGCACTAGTAAATGTCTTTTTACTGAATGAGGAATAAACCAACCCATTTCAAATAGACATAAAAATCTTAATACTAAAACATTTCCTCAAATAAATACAGTATCAAAATTATTGTTTGCTTGAGAACATAAGGTAACGAAAATTATAGCAGTTCATATACAAAACATATTTAGAAAAGTGTAAAAGACTTCCTGAGTTTTAATTAAGAATTCTTCTTCAAGATTCATTAGCTTCTTCATTTTTACCTTGTCACAATAATAATTTTTAATACATTTCAGATATGAAAAGACATGTTCAAGTGACTGATGGCCTAAACTGCTGAATTTTTAAAATTTTTTTTTTAAACAAGAATTTTTGCTGCTTAGCATTAAATTATCTTATTGAACAGAAAGCTTAGCTTCCTCATTATAGTTTATTTTAAATAAACGCAAAAATTCACAAATCAGAATACAATGAATTACCTAATGTTAGCTGGGGAGGAGTGGGATCAAGAACATAGTCCTTTTCTGCATCTTCCTTGTTTTTGTGGTAAGGCCTTTTCTTTCTCAGTCCAGTATCTACTACTGCTCTGATAATTTCTTTGTTCACCGGTTTGTAAATGTTCTTGATATTCCTTGTCCTTGACTCAAAAGGATCTGCTAGCGAAAGATCCTGGAGCTGATGACTGTGTATTATATGATCCTGTGAAGCAACTGCTGAAACTGCTGCTGTCTCTTTTTTGGAGGAGAGTCCCTAAAAAGAAAAAAAAAAAGCTTAAATAATTGTTATAAATGATTTAAAATCATATAATACTAAACTAAAAGAAATCCTGCTCTTAGCCAATGTTTTTGATTTGTCAAAGGCTTTTATACACACGCAACTCCCGTACTTGAAGCCTAACATACAATTACCCTAATATGAAATTTAAGATGTTTCTGACACATCTTGGTTTTAACATATAAAAAGTCAAATGAAATCTTTGATTTATCATTTATATTAAATAAAACAGAAGTAATTTTAAAGTTTTAATTACTGAGCCCATAACTATTATATGCAATAAACTCATTATGGACTATAAAAGTTTGGCATGCCCAAACACATTTTTACTTCAATATAATTAAAAACAATCCCAAGGGCTAACCTTGCCTTCCAGAACACTAAATATAAACAAGAACATATTATTTTTCATACAGGGAATGGGCTTATCTATCTCTTCCTCCATTTCTCCACAATCTTCTGCCTTATTTTAAAAGATGTGAAATTGCGCCTTGTAAAAATCAGGACGCTCCATTGAAAATCTTTAGTTGCTTCTACAAGAGTCATGTAGCTCTACAAACAGACACGTACAAGAATGTGAATAATATTTCTCAGCA